AGAGAGAGAGAGAGAGAGAGAGAGAGATTTCTGACTCAGAAAAGTTTGAAATTTCAGACTTTTTCTTCAGATTTTTTCAGAAGGAATCTTATGGTTTTTTTTTTAACAATAATAATCTGTTGCTAAGAGATAACAGTGTTTACTGGTACCACAAAGTGAAAATCAGATTTTTATTTTTGTATTGAATGTCTGTTTTTATAAAATATTTAGAACCAATGACAAACATTTTCACTATTCTGCAAAATTCACCAAAGTTATATTTCGAAAGAGAAGAAGAAATCATATGCTTTTTGAACAATAACAATCTGTTGCTAAGAAATGACCATGCTTACTGGTAAAGTGCCACGAAGTAAACATCTGATTTTTAGTTTTGAAAAATTTACAAACTGTAAATTTTGCAAAAGAATTTACAGTTACTGCAGATGAGCATTATAAGCAGTATTTCAAAAGAGCTTATGTTTTATAAACAATAACATTACTTCTTATTAATTTAGTGTTAAGAAATTAGCTTTTTTTTCTGGTAACGAACTGCCACAAAGTATGAATCAGATTTTTACTTTTGCATTGAATCACTGTTTTATAATATATCTAACACCAATGACAAACATTTAAACTTTTCTGCAAAATTCACCAAATCCACAATCCTTGTTAAGTAGTAAGTGATATTTCAAAAGAGAAGAAATCATATGCATTTTTGAACAATAACAATCTGTCGCTAAGAGATGAGCATGTTTTCTGGTAACAAAGTGCCACTAAGTGAAAGTCAGATTTTTACTTTTGTGTTGAATGTCTGTTTTTACAATACATTTACCAGCAATGACAAACGTTTTCACTTTTCTGGAAAATTCACTCAATGCACAATTCTAGTTAAGTAGTAAGTGATATTACAAAAGAGCAGAATAAATCTTATGTTTTTTTAACAATAACAACCTGTTGCTAAGAGATGAGCTTTCCTTCTGATAACCAAATGCCACAAAGTAAACATCTGATTTTTACTATTGCAAAATGTACCAACTGTAACTTTCTTGTGAATAAGCAGATAAGCAATATTTCAAAAGAGCTTATGTTTTATAAACAATTATCTTCCTTGTTATTAATTTGTGTTAATAGATGAGCATTTTTTTTCTGGTAACGAACTGCCACGAAGTATAAATCAGATTTTTACTTTTGTATTGATTGTCTGTTTTATAATATACCTAAAACCAATGACAAACATTTTCACTATTCTACAAAATTCACCAAATGCACAATTCCTGTTAAGTAGTAAGTGATATTTCGAAAGAGAAGAAGAAATCTTATGTTTTTTTGAACAATAATAATCTGTTGCTAAGAGATGACCATGTTTACTGGTCACCAAGTACCACGAAGTAAACATCTGATTTCTACTTTTGCAAAATTTACCAACTGTAAATGTCTTGTG